GAGAGAGAGAGAGAGAGAGAGAGAGAGAGGTTTTCTTTTATTCTGGCAGTTATTTGTAAGTAACAACTGATGTTGAGTCTGTTTACTCCCAGGAATTATTTAATTGCCTTATATCTTGTAAAATGGGATCTAATTCATACATTCTCAGCACCTTAAGGGGGGCTCCTATGTCTAGATAAAATATTTTCAACCATTAATGTCAAAGGGCATAGCATCTGGGCTTCTTCAAAATTATACATAACAGTATCAGTATCATGACTCATCTAAGCGCCTTATGTTGCCATGGGCATGCCAGTTAAGGTTTGCCGATTATAACAAGTCCATTGCAACAAAACTTAATAGATAAAAGTTACTAATAAAAAAGAATATACTCATAAATGTTCCAGCCATTTATATTACTAATTTCACAATGTTTCAAGTTCCGATCACATTTAACAACAAATTTGTAGCAATCCAATTTTCTTTTCTGAACCTGTTAATTTCTGTATTAAAAAAAAGGTGTGCAAGTCGTTCAATTTGCAAAAAATGATCACCTATAGACCGGGTGAAGTATACAAAAAAACCCCTAGGGGTGGGTTATACAGAGGTAAGCACAAGAGCTATACATGCTCAGCAACTCAAATTCAAGAATACAAAACTAATTACAGCACAAGTAACCAACCTTTATAAGAAATACCATCATCATTGTCCATAGAAAAAATTTGTGCAGCACATGGAGAAACACTAGGCCGCGCTGCCAAATGAGTTGACTGCTTTGATGAAGGGTCATTAACTTTTTCCTGAGTAGCAAAAAAAGGAAAATAATAAAAAAGAAGACAACATAACGAAAGAAATTGCAATTAGCTGGAAGAATAAAAAAAAGGAACTCCTATTTGATGTGAAAGTAGTAGAAGAAACAGAACTTCCTATAAGGAAAGAAGTACAAGAAACAAATTATTTATTATGATGAAGGCAGTTGCACACTGTTAAGCTTCTGACAAAATCAACAATATGCAGATGGTGAAACAAAAGGTATAAAACAACTTCATCATAAAACAGAAGTTATACAAATCCATAATAGCTGTATAACCATAATAATACTAAGAAATGTCCCTAGTAACACTGTAACCTATGAAATGATAAAATACATATGCTTGATTTAATATACATTTGATGGTTCCTTTTATGTCGATTTGCTTGGTGATACCCGTATAAACTTTGACTTGGTAATTACAAAAGCAGAAAAAGGGAAACCCTTCCCTTCAGGACAACATTATTATTACTGACAGAAATCTACTGCTGAGCACCAGCTGCCCTTTAATGCACACAGGAAAAAATGGAAAAAGCCATTTTTAAAGCTTCATCTCTTGTTCTATCACTCCCCAACTGCTTCCTTTTTCCTTAATTTTCTGATCCTCCTCTTTGGTGGCGTTCTGTGACAAGTGAACCATTTCCTTCAAAGTTCAAACCATGATCTCCTCCTCGTGCAACTTTAATTGTCCCTAAATAACCTCCACTCTACACTCTACAACAGTAAAAGCCTCTTATCTGTGGCTCTTGTTCTAACTCCAATTGATCTCCAGAAATTCCTATTCCACCTGTGAGACAACTCAACCTTCAACTTATAACATCATATACTCAACCCATAAACAGTTCCGACAACCCAAATTTGCTTTTCTTCGGATCGACTGCAAAGATATAGATTACTATAAGCTGTCAATGTGAACACACCTATGCCAGAATCCATAAACCCACCAAAACTACAGTTTGTAATCACTAAACCAGGATGCCTAAAACTACCACTTGGCTAAACAGTCCTCAAAACTAATGAATATTGTTGCAGCCTCTCTTACACTTAAAACATTTTGAGCAGTATAACCAAGAAACTGCTATGAAGAATTTCAAAACATTTATCTCATGTTCCAATATTCAGTAATCTCCACTTTTAATTCGCTATAATGAATAAACCATGTGATTTTACATCTCAAGGCTCCTTTATAGTTGTGCAGGCAGCCTGAAAGCCAACAGCTTTAGAGCCGTCTCCTAATTATAAAACCTCTTATGATGAATCTGTCCTCCATCTATCAGCATTTTCCACAAAAAGGTGCACCTTATCAAGTTATCCACATTTTATCACAGTTAAATCAATGAGGCAAACCACCAATAAATCTTCCATGAGATTAGTCGATCCCCATTTTAGGTCTGCTCCATACCTCCCACCATTACTCGGACAACCAGACCATGATGACTTTGACCATCCACATAGTGAAACAAGGATAAGTGCTAAAAAAAAAAAATTGACTAATGTGAACAAATAAAACCAAACTAACTGAGGAAAAATTCAATCTATAAGTGATTTCAAGATGGGAGTACCAAAGTGTTGCTTAAAAAAATGTTATTAGGTATAACAAGATGTTTTCCAGAACCACCTTGAAGGTTGCAGTTCACAGACTACATCTTTTTTTTTATGATTGTTCAGGACTGTTAATGACCTCTTAATGCTTGTGACTGATCTTCACTATTCTAATTCCACTACAAGGATTTAAGTATTCCACAAAAGCATCGCGTATATTAAGACACCCTTCACTCGAGCTAACAAAAGCACATATATGATGCAATATAAATTTCAAAGTAGTTAAAAATAAATTTTCAGAGAAATATATACTTTTTTTGATAATGTAAAGGGAAAAATATATACTTGGAAAAGAAAACAAATATTCTTTTATTTGTTGAGAACTGGAATTGCATAAATTCGTGGAGAATTATGGAAGAATTCAAGCTCATTTCCACAAATAACAGGGGGAAAGACAAATTACCTTTCACTGCAAGAAGGGTGAAGATGCGGAAAACATATACTAAATGCAAGGGAACATGAATATACATTTTCGCATGCAAAATACTGCTAATGCTCATACCATCTATAACAAGTAGAAAATTTGATCACTAGAATTAATAAGAAACTTCAACAACCTAAAACCAATAAGAGACTAAAAACTGTTCCCAAAAATATGTATTAGAAACATCATAGAGAAGTATTTATACCTTCTTGTCCTTACTTTTTCTGGTCATGTTCTGATCCTCGGATTTCCTTCTCTTTCCAATTTCCTTTTTCTATAAACAATTAAAAAAAAAGATGTAACCAACATATACAACAATATGAATACTAAAACGAACATCAATCTAATGAACCATGTTTTCATGAAATTTTAAGACAGGGCATAAAGGGAAGATATTGATGTTTACATAATATGAGAATTTCTTTTTAAAACTGAGCATAATATGAGAACTTAAATCGGTCAGTAACATTTCCATGTTGAAGAATGAAATATGAAAGCTGAGATATAACCTTAAACCTGGGACTAATAGAAAGGTTTCTCATTACACCATTATAAAAGAAGAGACGCCAACACGACAAACGTTAGAAATTAAATACATATGGTCAATTCTAGTGTTATTAAAACAGGACGGCAAAAGCCGGTCGGAACAGTTGGACGGGGAACCGGTGCCCAAACCAGTCCTCATCACAGTTCTGGACCGGCCAGACCCTCAAAATTGGATCCCACTAAGCTGCTGGTTCCAATTCATAGCCTAAAACAATGCCAGCCTCTGTTTATCTTTCCAGCCATAATAGCCAATTTAATCTATTCAATGTTTCATATACGGGTTGTCTTTGAACCAAAATCATAATGGGTGGTGTTCACAATAATAAACTCCATGTTTAGAGAGAGAGAGAGAGAGTGAAAGAAGGCTCTTCTAGATAGCCACTCTCTACCTAAATCCCGGAAATCTCTACAGCCCCCATTTTCGGGCAAACCTGACAGCAAATCCTACTTCCCATTTCCCAAACTCATATAAGAGTGGTGATCCATCTCAGGAAGTAGCGACTTTTCATATTCATGGAAAATATTGGTTTTGGGTATCATGAAAGGTTTTGAGAGAAAAGGTTTGCAATTTTTTCTTTTTTTTGTGGACATGACATTTGACACTTTGAATTTTCCGTTCATATTATAACAAGTTTGGTTAAAAGTGTCTGTTTTTTGGTGGTCAATGAAAGCATTTAAGCTATTTGACACTTTGCTTGTTAATGACCTAGTTCACTTTAATGAGTTAATGGCCTTTACTAATTAACAATTTAATTCATAAAAGTTTGGCTACTTGGATTCAAACTTCCTATATGTTTTTCTAATTTTGTTATATTCCCAGAAAAATTTCTGGAAGGTTTTAGAATTTTCAAACAATTTTCTACAAACTTCTCTACTTGGTTTCAAACTCCTTTATGTTTTTCTAATTTTGCTATTTTTTTTTATTTTTCTTTTGTCCTACCAATTCTCTAAAAGTTTTTAGACGTTTCAAACACTTATCTACAAACTTATCTCTTTTTTATTTTCTGTATTTGTTGTTTTAAAAAAAGTTTGATAGGTTGGACTGGTCCGGTTGAACCGGTTTGATTAGAGTGACAATGCCCTCACCAGCTTGATGGCCGGTCCGGTCTTAATAACATCGGTCGCTTCCCATCTTGGGCTTGCCATCTTATATCTTGTCCAGCTCAGTACGCGTTTTCCTGGTGGACTAAATAATTTCCCACATCACCAGCACTAGATCAAATAGTTCAAAAAAAAAATCCTTGACCATGGGTTAAAAAGCTGGTCGTTTCAATTCAGTGAAAGGTTTGATCATTAAAATCAGTAGGAAACTCTAAACATCCATAAAGAGTATGACTGAATCTCTTCATGAAATTCTATGCTCAAGAGACACCAATCATATTCCGATGTTGATCTAAGTTATGATGCATCCTTCAATCATTTAGAGGTAATGTACATGCATTATTTTAAGGACTGAATATTTGCAGACGTATTCAACCTGCCAGTTCAAACTAGCTCCAAGTCCAATTGAAGTCCATGTGAGCTAATTGTAGCCTATGATAGAGGCCCAAAGCAGGGTCCATATTGCCGGGATTATTTGAAATGTTCATATCTGATGAACACTAAATATTGTTCTGTAGATAATATGAAATTGCCATGAAGTAACCATATGAGTATATTGCAACCTTTATCTGCAATAGGAATGCCATGTTCAAGAGTGCACACAAAATATATAGGAAATTACATAAAATATATGTCAAGAAACTCACCTGCATCCACTTCCATCGCAAGGCAACATCCCTAACTGTCTTATTGTTCAATGTCATTGCAATTTTGGCATATTTCATAATGATTTGCTTTTCTGAAGCATACCTGTAACATGGATCATCAGTAAATTCGAAAATGATCCAACAGGGCACAAAATAATCCACCCATATCATAAAATAATCCACCCATATTAGATTGCTAAAGACAAATAAATCATAAATAAGAGTCATATAAATGAGGTTAACAGCAATAGGGGGAAATCGTGTGCAGTTACAAACAAATACTTATTCAATTACAAGAGCAAAGTTCTTAAGTTCTCATGGAAGAGTTTGAGTGGTATGAAGCATGTGGTACAAGACCATGGCAACATAAGTTCTAGTTTACTCCAACACAAAAAGCCAATGGAAGTTGCATAATATGGATTGTCCATTGGTACGAAGTACCAAATCATTCAATACAATCAATTAAAACTAATAATCTATGACAATAGCTAAAAACTTCAAATCATCATACCTACCAGTGGTATTCTACAGTTAAGTTAGCTTTCAGGCTTTTACCATGCTATGAAATATGCTATTCTAGTATGGCAACCTAAAAAATTACAGAAAGCATGTTATCTTTGTTGGATCCATTATATCAATAAATTTTCCAATATAAACCCGGTGTAACCGGATGAAACAAAAGAAACAATGAGTTATACATAACACAAAAGGAATCTAACTGAGTCCCTCACCAGCAAGGCTAATTGCAGCAATAGATATTTATGTAACATGAAAAGTTCATAGCAGGTGCCTTACCACTCGAAGGGGAAAGGCTGCATGATCTCCACTCAATACATTTGGGACTTATTTCTCTCTTTTAGGCTGTTATGAGAAGAATCGATCAGTTTCTGTATTTATAATCCATCTCACAATAGAAGGCACCTCAAGAACATGGGAACGAATCCTTATGACAGCAGGCCCCCACAACACACAAAAATGTGACTGCATGGATAAAATTACACGCATGCTGTTGCAACATTTGACTACTCAGGCAAGTTGACTACGACTTGGCACATTAACTAGGGCTTGGCAGGGTGCCTTGCCCGCCATTCCACACACACCACCACCCCCCCCCCCCAACCCACCCCATCCCACCCCACCCCACCCCACCCCACCCATAAATCCCAACAAAAAATATACACTCAGGGGCATATGGAAGTTGATTAAAAATAATTATAACATATTTATAATTAATATAACATTTGATTAAATCAATTATAATTCACTTATGGATAAGCTTTGGGTGTTATACGAGTCCTCCATCCAAAAAATCCATCTTAGAAATGGATTTTGGTTCTAAAAATTTAGGGGTTCAAAATCACACATGGTGAACATGTATATAAAAAAAGAAAAATAAATTTTAAAAATAAAGATACTATTTTTTACGTTTTTTCACACCTTCTGATTAGACTTTTGGTGAAACCACCATTTTTCAACATCCATCTTTAAGATGGCATACGTGGAATCACGTCCCTGATGCACTTAACTCTTTCCAACTTATCATTAGTTTTTTTTCTCTTTTATCTATGGGAAAAGTTTATATAGAGCCGAGGCTCTAAACAAATCACCCTTTATATATATATATATAAGAGATAAAAAAACTAATGATATATATAAAGTATCTTTTATACAATACATAATGAGATAGTCCATGCATTTAAGAAGCTTCAAAAGAAACCCTATAAAACCAGTTTTACCTGTTTTTCTAAGTGTCATATTTTTTCCAGCTAACTTTCCAGCCGAATTATATTTTTTCCGTCAGCCTAAAGTGGCTAGAAAGACCAATTTATTAAATAAAAAAGTCCCCATCCGCTGGATTTTCTTGCAAGACAACTGGAATCTCTCTGATTTTTAATATCTTTTCTTATTTTTTCAATTTTTTCTCATTCAATTTAAGAAAATGATACTTAACCAGTTTTCTATTCGCTTACCTTTTGGAAACTTTTTTCTCATCCTTTATATACTTTTTCCACCGTTTATTCTTTTCTTTGTTTTTCCTATTTAAGCAAGTTTTAGGATTTTTCTAATTTGTAAATTATTTCGCTCTTTCTTGGCTCACCTTGCTTGGTTGATCGATAACACCGCGGCATTCAAAATATATTTAATTTTTCTGGTGGTTGCTTTCTTTTTGTCTCTTTATAATTCTTTGTTCTCCCAAATTTTTTATTTTTTTTTCTTTCTTTCTCCTCCCTCCCTTCGTCTATGTCTGTAATGGTTTTCTTTCTCCTATTTGCTTGGGTTCTTTTTCTTTCTTTCTTTCTCCTCCCTCCCTTTGTCTATGTCTGTAATGGTCGTCTGTCTGTAATGGTTTTCTTTCTCCTATTTGTTTGGGTTCTTTTTTTTCTTTCTTTCTCCTCCCTCCCTTCATGTCTGTAATGGTTTTCTTCCTCCTATTTATTTGGGTAAAAAAATTATAATTAAAGTGGATAAAGTTAGTCTAAAGGGTCAGTAGATATAAAATTTAAGATTTATGAAAGCTAAACATAGGGGGCGAAGATATTTTTCCCAAAAAATAAATGTGAAAGAGAAAATAAGAAAAACACCCAATAACTGTAGCAAATAACTGTTCATCACAAAACAATGAAAGAACGAAAAATCATAAGAATAAAAAATAAAGAACCAATAATCATAAGAATAAAGCATAGACAGAAGAAAATCAAATGTAAGAATGGCACAAGCAGAGAGAATTACAAATCCATGAAAAAGGACACGAATTCTAGCAATTAAGAGCAACTTTGGATCCGAGATTAAGGGTTTACTTGTTCAGGCCTTCGTCCAGGATGTTTTGCTCCTCTTGGGTCCACTCAGCTGCGATACCAGGGTTATGCTTTAGAGCTTGAACAGTGCCGGGGAATTCATGTCCCCCATTAGCGGCAGTACAATTTGCTGCTGGATGATTAGGGTTTCCGTTAACCAAACCATTGGTCCCATTACTACACGAAGAACCATGGCTTCCATCTTGTTTAGACGAAGGGATGGGGCTTGCGGCCATCTACAGAGAAAATTGAACTTGACCTAATTTCGATCTTCACTGGTTATGGCTTCTTCCCGCCAAATTTATGAAATTCAGGAGAGAAGAAGGAGAGGAGAGAGAAAGAAGAGAAGGGAAAACAGAGGACTCTCAGCCCCTCTGAAATTTATTGTTCTCTTTCTCAGATTTTCTCATTATGTAAGGTAGAAGGAGATTGAAGGGAGCTCGCGTATGAAAACCAGAGAGATACTAGAGAAAGAGAGAGCAGATTACCGATAAATCTATGCAGTATATGTATATATCCAGAGAGAGGGGTCGCCCTCAAATCCGGTGTCGGGTCAGCCGCCGAGCCCAAGATCCGGCCCGATATTCTAACTCGCAGGAGTAGAATGTTGAAATTTTTAGGATTTTAAATTTTAAGGATACAACTTCTTCAATCTGTAGGTTAATTTTAATAAAAAAGCTACCTAATTGTACCTTTTATGCATTTGAAAAAGGGTGCAGTTTGGCGTAGCTGTAGAGGTAAGGTGCACCTTCAAATTTTATCATTGTATATAATTTTGATATAATTTTGATGTAAAATATTTTTAAGATTATCTCAAAATCTATTTTTATATCTAATTATAAAATTTTAAATTTCAAAAATAGTTAAAATCAAGTAGATTTATAAACATATGAAAATCTTGAAAATAGACGGTGTAGATAATATGTTGTAAAATGAACTATTTATAAGACTTAAAATCTTTTTATTTTTCATGGTCATACATCTCGACGTTGAGATGATCAATCAAAGGGCTTTAAGCATTAAAACTACTTTCTCCGATGGATTTTTTAGGTGCATCCATAGTGCTACATTATAAGGTTGCCATCCTTATATAAATTTTTTTTCTTGAACAAATAAAAAATAATGTCTCAAGTTAAATAGGGATATTTAGATGACTAGATCTAAATGTTAGAAAAACTTCAATTTCAATTTCAATTTCAATTTTAATTTTTTAGAACAATCATATTGTAATTTTTAAGTGGTTCCCAAAATTTCAATCTGGAATTTTTTTTTTCAAATAATTCTTCTGATCGAGGGAGTAGAAGTAAATTTTGCTCTCGAGGGAACATAATATATTTGTTTTTTTAATTAATATATATTTGTTAATAAAAATGGGAAATCTTTCTATGTCCCTCTACAACATAGAAGTACTATCATCCTCTTGTCACGTCTTTATGTTATTTTATTTATTTATTTTTTTTATAAATTATTTTGAAGCCAAATTTTGGATGTTTATTCTTCTATTAAACTCGCACTAAAAAAAATATATATAAAAAAAAATATTCTCAATAAAATAAAATGACCAAAATACCCCTAAAAGTTTTAAGGGGTATTTTGGTCATTACTTTTTATCGAAAATTTATTGTTGATATTTTTTATAGGTGTGCCCCAATGAGAAGATGACACATACCAAATTTCAAATTC